ACCTTCACCTCCGCCTGCGTCTGATGATCCAGAAGACGGTACGGCCTCCCTGCACCTCACCCCATACTCGGCCCCCAAAGTCTACCAGTGGATTTGGCTGGTCATCACTGGGTTGGGGGTCCTCCCAAGACCCACTCTAGATTCTGCTTCTAAGTCTATGATGGCAAATCCTTTGATACTATAATTTATGACACCTTCTCTTGGGGGATCTTCCCACCACTATTATTTTACTTGATAGCTTTTGACCAAACTTTTTTTCTTAACATTGCCGCTCATGTAATAAATGTAGACTTATTGATAAAAGAAGGCCACATCTTGGGATCCTTGGGTGGTGCAGCGGTTGAGCGCCTGCCTTTGGACCAGGGCGTGATCCTGGAGACCCGGGATCGAATCCCACGTCGGGCTCCCGGTGCATGGAGCCTGCTTCTCCCTCTGCCTGTGTCTCTGCCTCTCTCTCTCTCTCTCTGTCTGTGTGACTATCATAAATAAATTAAAAAAAATTAAAAAAAAGAAGGCCACATCTTAATGGTTTTTCCATATTTTTCTGAACTTTTTTCCCCTCCTTGTGCATAAGAGCAGCTGGACATGAATTTGGGTTCACGTTCTGGCTTTGAAACCTCATGGCTGTATGATCATGAGAGGTTGTCTTAATTTTATTCACTCTTACCGAGCACCTACTATGGGCCAGGCATTGATTTACATACTGTGGTTACAGCAGGGCATCAAACAGGAAACAAATCCCTCCATTCTCATGGATGTGACGTTGTAGGTGGAGGGAGTGACATGCTTCAACCAAAGTGGTGATGTGTGGTATGTTGAGTGGTGCTAAGTGCTACAGGGAAACGTGAAGCAAGGTAAGGGTATCAGGAATGGCAGAGATGTTGGGGTGCCTGGCTGGCTCAGTCCATGGGGCATGTGACTCCTGATCTTGGGGTTGTTAATTTGGGTGTCAAGATTGCTTAAAAATAGAATCTAAAAAAAAAAAAAAGAAAGAATGACAGAGATGCTGATTTAGATCAGGGTGTCGGGTGACATCTCATAAGAGGTGATTTGTGAGCAGAGGCCTACAAGAAGCTAGGGAGTGAGTGAGGCAGGATATTCAGGGCACAGCATCTTGGGGTTGGGGGAGGGGAGAAGAGACAGCTAGTGCAAAGGCCCTGGGGTATGTCTAGGGAACAACAGTGTGGCCAAATGGAGGGAATAAGGAGTGGAAAGAAATGAAACAGGAGATATAACCAGGGCTAGATCACATGGGGCCTTTTGCAAGAACTCCAGCTTTTACACTAGATAAAATGTAGAGCGACTGTAGACTTTGAAGCAGAGCATGATGTGACCTGCCTTACTTAGGTTTTAACAGGATCCCTTAGGGTGGTAGGTTACAAATAGCCCCAAAGGGGACAAAAGCAGGAGTGGGGAGACCAGTCAGGATGCTTATGGGATAATTCTGGGATGAGACATGGACCACAGTGGCAGTAGTGGGGGTGTCACACATGCTTGGACTCTGGGCGTATTCTGATTCTTGAATTCTAGAATCAGCAGGATGTACTGAGGACTCGAGTACAGGGTGTGTGAGAAATCCAAATAGCAGTGAGTGTGCTGGAGCTGGCAGCTTGCACTGGCTCATGTGAGTCAATTGTTAAACATCCGGGCAACCGGCGAGCCCGCTGGCATTGTGTTAGTAGCTCGGAAAGGGCCATGGTGGGAGTATTTACACCACGGAAATTGGCGAATGCCCTAAATCAGGATGTTTCTCCCTACCCCACTGCCAAGAAAGCCAATTGTTGAACGTGCACCCATGTCCTCCTGCCCTAGAACAATTCCAAGTCCTTTTGGCCTGAGTGGCTGGTAGGATGGACAGCTCCCTACCAAGATGGGCAGATGGGATGAAACAGGTTTGGAGAAGGAATCAGGAGTTTAACTTTGGATACCCTTCATTTGGGAGGCCCTTTTAGGCACCCAACTGAAGAACTCAGAAGGCAGGGAATAGGAGTTGAATAGAGTAATTGTAGCACCCCCACAGGACAACTTTGGGGAGGAGATAATTCACGTCTGCAAAGCACCCCACAAATAGGAAGCACTCAATGATGAAAATTGCTCTCTTCATCACGGCGATGAGAAAGAACTTTAATCACTATTTAGACCAAGGCTTACAAACTGGAGGCTCCTCAAGTCTGGATCCAGCCAGCAGACCTATTTTTTGGGAGGGGGAGAGGCATTATTCTAAAAAAAAAAACCCCACCAAAAAACAACTTTAAATGATTTCTGGAAGGGGGAGAGGGCCTCTCCCCTCTCTATCACTGCAAATATTTGGGCCCCAAATCCATTACTCACCCGGCCCTCCGTGACTTTGAGTCTGCATTCTCTTGGCTCAAGGCAGCCCATCACTTTGCAGAAAGGGGACCATGAAGCCCAGGGAGACTTGCTGCCAGGTCCCTGGCTGCTCAGGAGTCCCTGGCAGGGCGCGGAGGAGGGGAGCTGGGGCTCCTCTCTCCCGGCCAACACTCAGATCTGGGGTTGCCAGGATGGTCAGAAGGGAGAAAGTCTGTCCCCTTGGGAGGGGTCCCTTCCTGCCATGGGTGCCAGGGGTGGCCCAGCTTTGAGGAACCTAACTGCTCAGGTTCCTGGATCAGCTGCCCCATTGCACGCTTCGCAGTGGACATGAAACTCTATCCACCATCAAGCTGAAGGTTCACTGAGTATTTGATGCCTAGAGAGAGTGAGAACAAGGGCTCCCAGCTTCCTGTGTCCCCATCCAGGCCTGTGACACCAAGGTGAGATGTGGGCCGGTCTTGGGGGAGCAGAACCACCTGTCCAGGGGGCGGGTGTTGGGAGAAGGCTGCTGAGCCCAGCAGAAGGGGGTGGCATGGACAAGACAAGCCAGGAGTTGGTTCTCCTTCTGGCTGAAGATTGAGGTGGCTTGCTACTAACTGCTGATGCAGGGATGCTCATAAACCAGGACCGCGCATTCAGATTTACCATGACGGCAGTAGGGAGCCTCAGAAGTTTTCTCACAGCAAACAACTTTAGAAGGGACTTTCCTATTTGAGGCTTCAGCTAAGAAGACACCACGTCTCCCTGGAATCCTTTCCCTCCATAACCCCTACCTAATCCTCACGCTCCAGCCACAACAAACTCCTTTCAAGTCACTAAGTGGGCCACCTTCTCTCTCATTTCCAGGCTTTGCACATTCTGTTCTCACCGTCTGAGACACTCCTTCTTTTCCCCTCATGGTTGCCTACCTTCTCTTTCATGCCAGCTCAGAAGTCACTTCCTCCTGGAAGCCCTCCTTGATTTCACTCAGGCTTCTCAGCGGCCTGTCCACCCTATCCCTGCTCTCATCACACCGCATATCATTTCATGTCTGCCTCATCCCCTAGACAGTGAGGGCAGAGGCTGTTCTGTTTTCTCACAACTGTACCTTCAGCACCTTGCTTAGCACTTGCGCACAGTAGGTGCATATGTGCCCCCTTTCCTCCCCTCACAGAGCTAATCGGGACCATCCAACCTGCTCTGTTTCAACATAAACTTCACTGCCCAAGGGGCAACTGTCCAAGCCTTTCCAGCGCCTACAACCAGGCTTGGCTTACAGTAGACAGCTCAGAAAGTATCATCCTTCATACCAGACTCTAGAAGTCAGGGAGGTGAGAATAGGAAAAAGGGGGGAACTCCCGCTGAGGAGTGAGCAAGGGAGGGAACGGGCAAGGGATGCTTCCAGGCTGTTCCAGTAGCCAGGAAACACTGAGGTTCCAAGACCCTGGTAGCCAGTGAGAAGCACCACAGCCAGAGAGAAATCCAGAGGCAAAGAGCTGGGGAGAGGTAGACACAGGGTTCCGACTCAGGTTGGCCCAGCCCCAGGTCCACAAGGGGCAATTGTGCAAGGTCTGTACATCTTTGATTCTCCTGGAGCGGAAGGTCCTGGAGCAGCCTCCGAGGACACGTCCCTGGCCTCTAAGGGACAGCTTCAAAATTTTATCGTAATTTTGCAGATAAATCTTCCCTTTTGCAAAGCTCCTCTGCAGAGCAAGGCAGCTGGGCCTCGCTGCCCAGCCGACTGGGTTTCTGCTTCAGGCTTGAGGGGAGCGCTGCCTCCCCACCCGGGGCCCTGGCTGCCTCCAGAGAAGCTCTTCAGAACTTGGCATTCCCTCCCTGCCCTCCACTGTCCAAGCCACGGTGTCCGGGTCTGCCCGGAAGCCCTTTCTTCTGTTTCTCTAGACACTACCATCTGTCTCTGTCTGCTTCTCCCCCTCCCTGGAGAGTTCAGCAGGGGGAAAGTTCTGGATGGAGCATCTCCTAGGCACCCCCACTGAGTACAGCAGACGGCCACAGGGCCAGGCAACTCCATCCGTTCTTCATGCAACACTGGTCTCCTGAGTGCCTACTATGTGTCAGGCTCTGTGTTAGATCTGGGGACAGAGGTGCATCAGAGCAAGCCCTGACTACAAGGACTTCTGGGTCTGGTTGAGAGAGACAGATAAAAAAACAAACAGCTGCAGTACAGACAGTACGTGTGATACCTTCCCCCTCCTCCTGGCCACATCGGCTGTTCGGTCTTTCTCAAACACCGCGCTTGCTCTTGCCACAGGGCCTTTACACATTCTGTTCCTTTCAGATATATCCACTCCAACTCATTTGTTAGTTCTGAACTTCAGCATCGGATCCTTAGGGAAGGCTTTTCGGACCTTCCCCTTTGTATCAAACCCCCATTATAGGATCTCATAGCACCATTCACTTATCCTTACACTGTTCACCAAGGTTACGGTATGTCACTGTGGATGCATTTCTACTTTTAATGCCTGCTTCCTCCGCAGACCAAATTGCCTGGAGGCAAGGGGACTGTGTCTTTGTGTGCATGATGTTTCTCCCACTGCTGGGACTCCAGCTCTTTGCACAGCCCCTGACACATAGTGGATGCTTTATTTACCCTGGCTGAAAGAACAAAGCAGGAGCAATCGCTTCCCCAATGGGGCTGGACTGGAGGTCCACCCGTCATGAACACTCACAACTGGATATCTAAGAAGATCCGTTTTTCCTCCCCTACGTGAATCTTCCAGATACAGTCTTCACCTTCCACGTACGGCTCTGGCCAGTTTGGGGACAGCACCACCCCGGCCACGGCAGAGAGCTCCCCACCACACATGGCTGTAGAAGACAGAGACAGACAGAGGAGGGCACGCGTTATTCATGAGGAAGCCAGTACAGCGTGGCGGGTAAGAGCGTGGGCTATGACGTCGGACAGGCATGGCTCGCTGTGTACTGGGAACAGGTGCCTGCCCCTCAGGCGGTCCGTGTCTGTGTGTGTGGATGATCACATTAGGGCTGGCCACCTGCCTCCTTTAGCTGAGGGCTGGCGAAGAGGGGGCTAAGGGCGCTACAGTTCTCTCAGGATCAAGGACAGAGCTCAATGTTCTGGGTGATTCTGCAGCAGCCCCATGCTGGGGCAGGGTGGAGTAGTGGCTAACAGATGCCACGCTGCATTGAGGTGGACCTGAGTTCGAGTCTTGCCTCTGCCCCAACAGACTCGGCGGTGGCAAGGCATGCAATCTTGGGAGTCTCAGTTTCCTCCCTCTGTGAAGCTGCAGTAACAGCGCCACTGACTCCGTTGGGGTTTTCTGGAGCTTAATTGAGCTCATGGGTGTCAAATGCAGCCTAGTACCTGGCACAAGGTAAGGGCTTGATACTTCTTAGTGAACATTACTGCCAAGGAGCCCAGCTCTGACCTGGAAGTAGGGATGTGGCTGGCGCCTGGCTCTTTAAATTCCACCCTGTTTACTGTTTTGGAAAGTTCTCAGTGTGGCAGAGGCCAAAGCACCAATGAATTCCGCTCTGTTAAACCAGCACATTTAATACAGGGATCAATCCCTCACCAGGACGAAGCTGTGATTTCACGCCAACCGCCATCCAGGTGGCGGCTGCCAGGAGCCAGGGCTCTCTCCATCACACCACATGCTCCACATGCATCCAGGCTTGAAGTGGCACTGAGTATGCGGAAAGAGGCAAGGCAGGGCAGGGCCCCGGGGGGCTCATGGAGATGAGGGCTCCACCCAGCCAATGCTGTCCCGAGGGGCTCAGACCACAGGTCTCTGAGAATAGAGAGACCCGAGTTCCATTTCCACCTCTGCCAGTTACCCTCAGTCTGTTCTTAGGATCACTTCACAGCTTCAGGTCCCTCACCTGTACATGGGGTCAGTACTATGTACCTCGCAGGGTCATAGTGAGGATTAAATCAGATAAGGCACATGCAGCCCTTGGCAACTATTATTGACATCATCACTATTATTAATTAAACTTAGAACTGCCATGTGCGATTGGGTGGGTTGCACGATGCACAAAAGTACATAGCAAGGGGGTACAGAGGAGCTGAAATCCATGCAGAGATCTTTTCATTAAGTTATGTACTAGGGGGTCTGTGCTTGGAGGAAGGGGCATCTTTAAAAATTTATCAATTTTGTAATTTGGACATGCAGCAAATCTGACCCAAAGGATAGTGAGCCCTGGAAAGGGTTCTAATGCTAAAATTGGTGTGTAAATTTGTGACATACTCTAAACTGGGCCCTTGGCCTTTTCATCTGAGGGGGTGGAGGTCCCTGAGGTGCCCTGCGAGAAGGGCAATGGGGCCACTCACCTCTGCACAGGGGCTCTGTGTCATTCCAGTATGGGTCCCGCACATTGATGCACTCGATAATGGCCGGACCCTGCTCCAGAGAGTGGCCGGGATCACAGGTAAACTCCACTATGGTTCCGATGTTATAGGTTGGGTCGGATGTGGTGAAATTCCCATTCTGAATGTAGGGCTCATAACAGTGGCCTTTCTCAAAGGCTAAGGTGGGGATACAAAAGAGGGACAGCAGCTCAGATGAGGCAGGGGCTCCTGACAGTCCTCGATGTCAGAGGATGGGTCCCCTTTTGCTATTTAGGGAAGCCCCAAGGAAAATGGGCCCCAGACTCCAGGTTCCAATTCCAGCTGACATGCTGAGGGCGCTTGGACAATTCACATCACTTTTTGGGAACTCATTATTTTCGTCTCGAGAATGGGAATACAAACCTCTGCCCTCCCAACCCTGCAGAGTCTGCCTTTGGAAGTCAAAGGGTCAGTCTGGCCTCTGGGTCTCCCTCACCCTTAGCAGGTCAAATTTCTAGCCCCCAGAACCCAGCTCAGCTCCGTCATGCTTTCTCTGTGCCCACACCATCACCCAGGATGGGGGAGGCCCCCGGGGATCCTCACCCTCGAACCGGATGTTGAAGGCTGAGGCTGCCCGCGCCTGGTTGGAAGTGAACTCAATGCGGATGCTGTTGCCCTCGCTCAGCAGACCCTCAAAGGGGACGCTCTCGGTTTGGAGGGAGTCATAGAGAAGAGCAGACTTATTGATCAGGCCACTGTAGACCATCATCCTGGAGGGTAGGGGTGGGGGGAAGGATAGGAGGATCACTGACACACAGCAACAGCAGGAGGCATGTGCCATGAACACCACCTCTGGAGCCTAACTCCCAGATGCAGATCCCGACTTTGCCCGTGACTTGCCCAGACAAGCCTTATGCAACTTGTTTCCTTTTCTTGTAGAATGCTTGTCCTAGACTCACAATGGGTTCTGAAGTTGTAGGAAAAATGATGTGTGTGATGTAATGAGCCAGACTAATTAATGGATACTAATTATTATTAGTAACTGGGAAGATGAGATTAACGGGCTGAAAGAGTAGTAGTCAGACAACCTGAGTCCCAACTCTGTAACCTTCTGAGCTGTGTGACTTTGGGCAAGGACACTTCACACCACTGTGCCTCTGTTTCTTCAACTATAAAAAGGATGAAATTATACCCACCTACATCAGAGTGTGGGAACTAGATAGAGGTCATGTGCATAACATGCCTAGGACGGAGGAGGTATACGAGTCAAATTTATTAAGCATTTGGCCCCAAACAGGCTCTGTCTTTCAGTCTGATATCGTAAGAGCACAGTGTGTGGAGTCAGGAGTCCTGATTTTCTCTTCCCAAGTCTCAGCACACCTTGGGCGTCAGTTTCTACAGCTATGAAAGGAGGGATCATCACGTCTCTTCTACCTATCTTACAGGTGGGTTTTGAGAATACGACAGGATCAGGTGCCCTGAAAAATAAAATGCGCTACACAAAATGTTGGTATTCATTTTTACTGTTATTAAAATGATTTGATACCTGACTCCTTGCTAGTCTTGGTATTTTTAAAGAAATTATGCTTGTATTTATTAAAATGTAACTTTAAAAAAAAGAAATTATGCAAAAACGGGGAAAGAAGCGGTATACAGATTAGATACACTTCTTTTATGGAGTCATAAACAGGCATTTTTAATCCTCTGAAGTTTTTTTTAAAAATTTTTTTACTGTGACTCATAAAAAGGGTTTATCTTATGCTGCCCAGATGAATTTCTAATATTACCAAAATATATAAATGTTGAAGCCGTGGTTTGTTCATTTTTCCATGTGTCCACTGTGGCTAGGATGAGGACAGGCCTGGCTTCCCACACAAAGTCTCTGAGAATCAGTTAGCTCAACCAGCTCAAAGTGTGGCAGGCAGTGCTGGGGAGTTAGTGTGTCCAGGAGCATCCCATCCAATGATAGATGGGTGGTGGTGGTGGATAAGTACCCCAGATCCCGCCCCCTCCAAAAGGACCGCTCTGAGTCATACTCAATACAGTTTCCCAGAGGCCTCCGGTGGACAGAACCCCAGCTGCTCCCCACAGTCACCTGCTCACTAACGCACACCGTGTTGACTCCTTTCCCATTCCAACCCAATGTCCCATGCCTCTACCTTTGCTTCCTAGGATTTGCTCCCAAATGAGTGACTTTCCCTAACATCCTTGTCCCCATGTCTGTTTTTAAGAGAATACACCCTAAGACAGCAGGTCTAGTTTTCTAGAACATTCGAGAATATTCTAGCATAAAGCCATAGAATATGAAAACTTTAAGGGATTCTATGTGTATTACTTAGAGTCTACAGACATGCTCTTGCTTAGGTATTGCCTTGCAACATCTCCCTAGTTCCTTCATAGGTACAAGTCTAGTGTTTCCACTTCAATTTCCTATTGAACAGGAAATCAAGTCTTGCTACTTCTCTCTGGTTCTCCATGGAGCTTAGTACATGACTGGGCACAGAGCAGTGCTCAGCAAATACTCCCTCCTTGTTAACTGCAAAAAGGGGCATGCAGGAGAAACAATGAGGTGGTGCAACACAGGGATCTGGATTCCCCTATCCTACCATGTGTCCTGGGATGAGTTCCTTTCCCTCTCTAAGTCTGAGTTTCCTTACCTGTAAAAGGAGGAGATTGGAGCTGATGGTGTCTAATACCTTGCCAACTTCCTCAGCCCTTCCTTTCTTGACCTCAATGAGCCATTTCCAGACTCCAGATCCCCAGCCACACACTCTGGGAAGGAAGGAGGCTGCTGGGGTAAGTCCTCAGGGGCTTACCTGTCCTTGTCATGCAGTGACAGCCTCTCAAAATGTAGGTGCAGCTTCTGGCTCTCCGGAGCTTCGATTGTCCACACACAGAACTGGCTCCCATTGGCGTTTCCTGGGTAACTTGGGGAGAGGACCCGGCCGATGGTGGCGTTGTGCACAGCCCCTCCACAAGGGGCTGGGGGTGGAAATGGGGGAGGTAATCATGAGAGGAGACACAGAGAAAGAGATTCCCACCCCAACCCCTTGGTTGGGGGCAACAGGATGGGAAGAGGGAGACATGATAAAGGCCTCTTGTCTTGGACGAGGTTCATTCTATTTTATCGGAAACCTCATTCCCTGGCTGGAACCACCCACCCTGTGTGTTCCATGATAGAGAACAACCATGATTTAAGGATTCTTTCATCGTGCTGGCTGTGCCCTGATTCGTCACTGTAAGATGGTAATCAAGGACATAAATAGTCCTCAAAAGTAGAAATACACTTTTAGTATTTAGTAAGCACTAAAAATGCAGACTCACTAATAATAAATGAAAAGCGAATCTAGATTGTATTCTATTTTCATCCACCTGACCAGTCAAGGCAAAAAGCAGTCATAACTTGTCGATGGGGAAGGTGGTGGGAAATGGGTGCTCTCAGTCATAACTGGTTAGAATGCAAATTGCTATGACCTTTCAGGAGAGCAATTTGGAGAAATATCTAGAAAATATGTTCCCAAACTCTGACCTAGTCATTAAAGTTCTGGGAATTTACACTAAAAAGAAGATTTGGAGATTTTCACCAAGATTTATGAGTGAGGGTGTTCACCATGGACGTGCTTCTAAGAGCAAAAAAAAGAGAAGCAACATGTTTGTCCACTCACAGCTGTTCGGTGAAATAAATGCACTTCGTTCATCTGCTATTAAAAATCACGTTCTTGAAGATTACTTGCGACTATAGAAAAGTGTTCCCTATATTTTTAAGTGGGGAAAATAAACCAAGTCACAAAATGGTCCTGCCATACCTATTTCAATGAGTTATTTGCAAAAAATCTATTGAGACCATAAATATAAAAGTGATTTGCTTCTATCTTTACACTTTTGAATTTCTTGAAAAATTTTTTTTACCAGAGCATTTATTACTTCTATCATAAAAATCTAATAAAGAGATATTAAAAAAATGATTTGTGAACTGAAGGGAGATAGACAAATGTGAGGAATTATTTTTAGGAGATACTTGGATCTCATTAAATGTTTGTTGAATGACTACATAACTAATAAAGACTTGCTAGGGGTGAAAAAGATAGCTAGCTCTCTGCTGTGCTCCGGATTCTGCTGATTTACAGCAAAGACATTGCCAAGAAGCCCCCTCCCCATCCTCCAACACCCATACTTCTTTCAGAACCATGAGCAGAGGTCTGTGTGTGTGTGTGTGTGTCTGTGTGCCTGTCTGTCTCTATCTCTCTCCTGACCCCCTTCTTTTCCTAAAGAGGAGGTTTAAATCCACCCGTACCACTCACCTGCTACTGATCTAGAACAAGTCACAGAAACTCTGTGAACCTCGAGTTTGCTATAAAGGGTGGTAATGATTCCACGCAGCTTATAGGGCTGTGGTGAGAAATCAATGAAATGACGCGCATAGGGAACTTGGCACAGTACAAGTGCTCAAAACATAGCCAGCATTGATGTCCTATGGCTCCGGAGCTGAGGAGATCGAGGACACCATCCCTGGTGGGGGGCACTGGCCACCTGTCCTCTCCAAGCTGCTGCTCATCTGCTGCCTCTCTGCTCCCCTTCCTCGCCTTATTAAGCCAAGTGATGGCTCTGTTTGGCTTCAATTTGCCAGCCGTGGCTCCCCATCCATCTTTCTTAGCACAAATTGAGGCTTAATTCCTCTCTGATTTCACACATAGATAAAAATTAACACGAAAGAGGCACAGAGACCAACTGCCCTATGGTTTGGATTTTTCCCTTTTGTTAAAAGCAAAGAAGAAAAATTCTGAAGGGCCTTAGGGGAACAATACTGCAACAATCAAATCTCAGAATGTGTCATCAGGCCTCATTTGCTTTTGGATTCCATTGACTGAATGCCTGGAGGAAGGAATAATTTATTATTATTCCCAATATTCTCCTTGTATGTGGCTTGTGCCCTGGCACATAGTAGGTGCTCAGTTATTACAAGCACTGTATGCTGTCCTGACCACCATCAGAACTTCTGAGAATCTAATAGGGTTTTGCTGTCTTGATAGCCAAGGATGGTTAAGGTTATGCCTAGCAGTACAGGGACCATGTGGTATAACCTAGAGCTTCTTAATCTATAACATGTACATAAATCACACAGGGGCATATTAAAATGTAGATTCTGATTCACTTGGTCATGTAGGGGGCCCAGGACTATGCATCTGCAATAATCTCACTGGTCTGTAGACCATGCTTTGAGAAAAACGGCTCAGGAGAGAAGAGCTCTGGACTTGTTTCAATTTGTTTGGTGACTTTGGGCAAGTGGCTTCAACCCGATAAGCCTTTGTTTCCTTATCTGTAAAATGGAGGTAATGGTTCTCATCAAGTAGGATTGCTGTGAAGGGGGGCCCCGGGTGGCTCTGCGGTGAGTGTCTGCCTTTGGCTCAGATTGTGATCCCAGAATCCTGGGATCGAGTCCCGCATTGAGGTCCCTGCATGGAACCTGCTTCTCCCTCTGCTTGTGTCTCTGCCCCTGTCTCTGTGTCTCTCATGAATAAATAAGTAAAAAAAAAAAAAAAAAAAAAAAGGATTGCTGTGAACACCTATGGCAGCCCTGGCAGTGTCTCAGTATTTGTTAACTGGGTTCAAAATGTGGCAGCAGGCTCACCAAAAGCACAGAAGAGTGTGAAGCACTCTTCACAAAAAAGAAAAATAGATAAATTACACTTTGTCAAAATGAAAAGCTTTTCTGCATTGGAGGACACTATCAAGAAGTAAAGAAACATGGGTTGCCTGGGTGGCTCAGTTGGTTGAACGCTCGACTCTTGGTTTTGGGTTTAGGTCATGATCTCAGGGTCCTGGGATGGAGCCCTGAGTCAGGTTCTGTGCTCACTGTGGAGCCTGCTTGAGACATTCTCTCCCTCTGCCTCTCCTCCTGCTCATGCACATGCATGCTCTCTCTCTAAAATAAATTAATTAATTAAAAAAATTAAGTGTAAAAACAACCCACTGATTGGGGTAAGATATTTGCAAATCATATCTCTGATAAAGATCTGATATCCAGAATATATAAAGAACTCTTACAAGTCAACAATAAAAATACAAATAACAAATTAAAGAAAAAAAAGTAGGCAAAGCACTTGAATGGATGCTTCTCTTAGAAGATCTACAAATGGCCAAGAAGCACAGGAAAGCTGCTCAGCGCCATTAGCCATCAGGGAAATGCAAATCAAAACCACAACGAGAACAAGAAAGCATCATACCCACCACCACGGCTAGAATCATAAAAAGAAAATGTGTAAAATAATAAGTGCTGGTGAGGATGTGGAGAAATTGGAACTGTCCTACATGGCAGGTAGGAAAGCCAAATGGTGCAGCCTCTAGGGAAAACAGTTTGACGGTTCCTTAAAAAGCTAAACAGAGAATTACCCTATGACCCACTGATTCCACTCCTGAGTATGGACCCAGGAGAAATGAAAACATACGTCCCCACAAAAACTGGTACAAAAGTGCATTATTCTTAATTGCCAAAAAGGGGGAAAAACTCTAGCGTCCACCAATGAATAAACGGATAAAATGGGGGCACAGCTGCACAATGGCATATTGCTCAGCCATAAAAAGGAACAAAATACTGAGCCAATGCTATGACATGAATGAATTTTGGATACACATGATCCTGAGTGAAAGAAGCCAGTTACAAAAGACCATGTATCATTTGATCTCATTTACACGAAATGTCCAGAATAGGCAAATCTGTCTATACAGGAAGCATGTTGGTGGCTGCCAAGGGTTGTGGGGGAGGGGAAAATGGGGAGTGAGTGCAAGTGGGTGCAAGGTTTCCTTTTGGGGGTGATGAAGATGTTCTGAAACTACAGAGTGGTGATGGTTGCATGACACTGCAGATGTGCTAAATGTCACTAATGTTAATTTTAGGTTATGTGTATTTTTTCACAGACTAAAGATTTCAATGACAGTTGTCATCCATCTTGGGGGCGATCTTCTCCCTTGGGCTGAGCGCCTATCCTTAAGGTCAGTCTAATGGCCTGGGGTTGGTCTCTCTCCTCTGAGTGGACTATCCATGTCTGATCCGGCGAGGTTGGAGTGTACCTGAACAGATGGGCTCCTGGCTGCTCCAGTGGGGCTTGGAGGCATTAATGCAAGTCAGCGTCTTGGCACCCTGGAGCTCATAACCCAGGTGGCAGTGGAAGTGGGCCACCCCACCCGAGTGCAGGTCCATCACTGTGACATCCCCATAGTCGGGCCGGCGGGGAAAATTGCAGCTCAGCATGAAGGCTGGAAGAAACGTAAAGGCGGACAGTCATCCCTCAGGAGCGGGGAGAGGAAGAACGTGACCCACATCCCGGGAGCCAATTTGTGCTGAGGAGAAAAGATGAGGCCCCTGGGGACTCCAGAGTGCTGGAGGTGGTATTTTTGTGATTCTGGTTGATCATAAGATGCTAAGACTGTCAGATTGGCACTTTTTCTGGGCTCCAAGGTCCCCATCCTGCCTAACCAGAGACCACAGGTTTGGGGTGAAAAAAACGAGTTCCCCACACCTCATGTGAGCCTCTCTCCACATGTACACAGAATGGCCTTCTCTTTGGGCACAGGAGGGGCAGGATGACCCGGGTAGATTTAATCCTACCAGTTCAAACATCTCCAGTTTGTTAAAAATGCACACTCTTGGACTGGAGCTAGGACAAGCAGCTCTTCAGGAAATGCCAAAGGATAGGACAACTTGAAAATAATGTCCTGGTGCATACAGGCTTGGCCTTTGGAGGAGACCAATGTGGGTTTATGTTCTTCCTCTATCACTTCGAAACTATGTGACCTCGAGAAAGGGACACAGTGCCCTGAACTTGGCTCTCCTCATCTTTCCAGTGGAGTCGACAATTGTCTCTACCTCACCGATGGTGGTAAGGATTAAATAAGAAATGCCAAGGAAGAGCCTCCTTAGCCCAATGTCTAGTTGGGAGCGGTAGAATGCTCTAGGTGGCCATGCTGAGCTCCTCAATTTTCCCAAGAAGGTGGGAAATCCATACTAGCTGGACCTTTGGACTGCGTGGTCTGACCACTCCCACTGCATAAGGTATCAGTAATCCCAGAATGCACTGGGAGGATTACATCCAACCCAAGGGCCCGACAAGCTGTTTTTTTAACCCCCATTCTGTAAGGGACAAAGACAGTAGCGGGTGGTCTTGGTATTGGAAGGTGGTGATGAAAAAGGTCCTCTCAGACACTCATCTGCCTGTTTCAGAGACATCCAAGGGGGAAAGTTACAAGTGAACTGGTTTTCCAGATGTTGGGCCAGTTGGATGCCAACGTGCATGGTGCTAAATATCCAGATGTGTGAGGGTGGACTCCACTTGCTGTGCAGATATCTGGCAGGTGCACAGGGTGTGCTCCTGGCTCAGGGAAGTAAGCTGAGGTCCTGGGAAGGACTAGGGAGGTGGGGAGGTTGGATGCGAGGGGGAGAGAGAGAAAGCCAGCCAGAAGGAAGGGAGTAGGGAGGGAGGGAAAGAAGAGAGGGAAAAGAAGAAGTCAAAGAGGCAAGAAAAGAGGGAGGGACAGAGAAGGAGTAGGAAGGAAGTGAGAGCAAAGAGCAATAAAGCATGAGAGGAGTCTCAGAAACAGACAAAATGGAAAGCAAGAAACATTGCAGAAGAAATGGGAGAGAGCAGGACCCCTGGGTGGGGGGCTGAGGCTCTTTACCAGAAGTCCATGTACAACCCCGGGATTCATTTATGGAATTCAGGAGCCATGGACCCAAATGGGAAAATGTGGCTTGCTGGTTTCCATTTACCTTTAACGGAACTGTGCTATTTCCTTCAATCACATATGTAGGCAACAGAACGTGACATCGTCACCAAGAGGAATCACAGATATTTTCATATCATAGTAGATATCTTGACATATTTCTTATGTTCTTCAGTACTTTGAAATTACAGCAATTATCAGAACTGCTGGGGGGGAGATTATTATTTAATGCACTAATAAAAGGAGCATAGAGGTTATGGTATCACAGATTAAAACAATATTTTGACAACTGTAATTCAATCTGCCTGGTTTCCTTTCTAATTGTCTAGGTTTTGTTTTGTGTTTTTAAACACATTATTTTGAGAAGGGATCCAGAGGTTTTACCAAACTGTCGGAGGGCTCCCTGACACAAAGTTTGAGAATGCTTGGCTCCAGGGGGAAACTGAGGCAGACAGCTTTTTAGACCTCATTAGCCTTGGTGCGAGCTTACCCTGGTAGTGCAGCTGGAAGGTCCCGAGGGCGTCGTCCTGGAAGGTCCGGAAGTAGACCGAGATGGTGTTGGTGGGACTTCGGATAACCTGTCCCTCTACTAGGAGAGTCTGGTTGGCCAGAACAGTCAGGGTGGGACCATCCACCCCGCGGATGGAGAGCAGCTCGCCGTCAGACAGGTTCACGCTCTTCACCTGGGGATGGGGTGGGGGGGCAGACAGAGAGAAACTCTGAGTTGTGTTTGAGACCGGGCCCTTCCAAGCCGTGCGGCTCCCAGGGCAGCACCGCTAGCGGACCCCGGTACTGCCAGCACAGCAGCCCTCAGCCAGCCCCTGGTCAAGGGGACAGATGGGCTCCCTTGGAAACCTCTGCAGCCCTGGAAACATCTAGGCTCCCCTCATGTCCCCAAAGGCTGAGGGACCAGAGCGAACCCAAGTTGCAAGACAGATGTAGGTACTGCAAAAATCTGTAAGTGTCCATGAAGGAGTCCTGTGAGAGAGCCTCCTGCACCCTGGCAGCTGACGTACACTCTCCTAGAGATGGGGGAGGATAGGAAGGGCTTGATCAGCTTGTGCCTGAGGCCCAAACTCCAAGAGGACAGAACGAGGCATCCCACCAGAATGTAAGCTCCACGAAAGTAGGCATTTTTCCTCCATTCGTCCTGTGTCCTCAGTGCCCAGAATAGTGTTTGGCACATAGCAGGTGCTCAATAAATATTTATGTAGGTTGAAATCATTCTTCCTCTTTCTGTAAGAACTGGCAAGGAGGAGTGGGGGGCTCATTTCCAGGGCATTCTCAGGGCCACTCTCATGCTATAAAACAGTAGCTCTAATTGCAGAACTTCCACAAGGAACTGTGTACTTGATTTTCCAAGCCCATTTTCTAGGTTTGGAGGAGAAAGAGGGGGAACATTTTAGTTGTACATAAAGATATGCAAATGGAATAGGGCTGAGTGGGGCCCTTTGTCAGTTCCCAGTGGCCGGTTTGGGTTTTCATGCCTCTTCTAGTGGCCTCACCCATGAGCACTTCCTCTTTGGGATCATATACTCTTTGATGAACTCCTACTCATTCACCAAAGCCCCACAGAAATTGCCCTTCTCCATGAGACTTTCCCTGACTACCAAGGAGCTTGCCCATCTCTCCAATGTGATGCTACAACATCCCCTATAAACACCCACTAGAGACCTTTTCACATGGCATCCTAATGTCTTCCAAGTGTGTCTGTCTCAATCATAAGGGGAGGTACTGCATCAGTTTGCACACCGCCGTATCCCCCAGCGTAAACAGCCATGACTGGTACCAGCAGGTGCTCAGTGAAGGAGTTCCATGCCCGGTAAAGAGCTTCATATGGTGTTAGACACAGGGTGGAAGGAAACGGTGCAGCGAGTCCTGGCTTCAGATGAACTACAACTTTCCTCCAGTTTATTTTCATTCCATGAACGCTAACGAAATACCTACTATGTGCCTCACACTGTGCTGAGCTCTGGGGGCTGCAAAGACCACAGGTTCTGCTGCCAAGGGGCTTACCTTTTATCGGAAAAAAACTTCCCTAAAGTTCTGGTTAGGTCACAACCAACCCAGCTCAAAAACTTTTGATGGCTCTTTATTGTCCATTAGAAAAAGGTACATATCCAGACCTCTAACCTTGGCCTGGAAGGACCTGCCACCACGTGGTGCCACCTTTCTTTTCCAACTATCCTCCCCCGCCTCTCATGGGGGGCAGTAAACTGGACTGCTCCCCACTCCCAGGCACCCACCCTCCTTGTTCTATTTTTTAAAAAATGGTGGGGGTGGGGGAGTCAGTTGAGGAAGGAACTAGGTTGAGGGTAATTGGTAACATAACTGAGCTAGGCTCTGGCTGACTGTTCTCTGTCATATTTATACCACCCTGAAAATGTGTAAAGTCGTAACATTATCATCTCTATTTTACTGATGGGGAGACCGAGGCTCAGAGAGGTAAAATCCTTTGTGCAGAGGCACACGGGTTTCACTGGTAGAGCTGGGACTTAAACCCAGATGTCTAAGCTCTATGCCACTCTGTTTTTCCATTCATAGTTTACAGGCAAAAGTCTATGAATCATATGAGCTGGTGGGGCTTGCGCACGTGAGTGCGTGCATGTGTGTGTGCACGTGTGTACGTGCGTGTGTGTGTGTGTGTGTGGTGTGTGCGGTGCTCGGTATAAGAGGGCTTTCCTTCTGAGTATAATGCCCCACGCTTCATTAGCAGATCCTCTTCTTCCATGTACGCCCTGAGTTGGGAACTCCTATGCATTCAACAAAGCCCAGGTCAAAGAAGGCACCAATTTGGTTGGGATGATAGCAGTAAGCCCGAGTCAGACAACCCTTCAGAAACTTCCTGCTGGAAGAGGCAGGCACTGTAGAGCACCCTTCTGCAGTTACCTGGAGCTCCACGCCGTAGCCAGTGTAGACCGTCACGTTGTACGTACACTCCAGGAAGCTGTTGAGGGGCAGTGGTGGGTAGTCATTGGAGTCGATGTACCCTTCAGGATCGGAGAAGCTCACGCTGCAGGGAGCTGGAGAAAGCACTTTAATTAGGACACAGAGGACAGCTCCGATGTCATGTCTCAGATGGGCTGTGGGGTGGCACCAGGTCCCTGGGACCCCTGTGTTCTCATGTCCCCGGCCCTCCCATTGCTGGTAACAATGGTTTTTCAGTTCCAGAACCAACCTGATAGTCAAAACTGCAATAGCTGACCCAGAATGATTACTTACTGCATACCGCTAGGCACCGTTCTAACCCGTGCATGGGGCCGACCCCCATCATCCTTGGGGTGCCGGACATTTCATCCCCATTTTATTTATTTTTTATTTTTATTTTTTTAAAGATGTTACTTAGTTATTCATAGAGACAAAGAGAGAGGGAGGCAGAGATACAGGCAGAGGGAGAAGCAGGCTCCATGCAGGGAGCCCGACGTGGGACTTGATCCCTGGTCTTCAGGATCACACCCTGGGCTGCAGGCGGCGCTAAACTGCTGCGCCACCAGGGCTGCCCTCATCCCCATTTTAGAGATACATAAACCAAAACTCGGAGGGAGCCAGTGTCTGGGCGAAGCTCACACAGAGGGAGCAGGATTCAAACCCAGAGCTTACACTTTTTAGAGAGAGGCCACAATGCTTTGGTCCAGAATCCACCTATGATCAACAGTTGGTGTCTGTCTTCTCTGAAGACAGGAAAGAAGACAGGATTAAGACTAGAACACAGAAGTGCATTTTATCAAGTCTGAAGAAGTCCATGTAATGGTCAAAGTAAAAGCACTTTGAGGGGTGCCTGCTGGCGCCATGGTTGGACGTCAGACTCTTGGTTTTGGTTTGGGGGTGGTGGTCTGGGGTCTTAAGATCAGCCCAGCCACAGGCTGCTCAGTGGGGAGTCTGCTTGACATTCTCTCTCCCCAGACGTCTGGGTGGCTCAGTGGTTGAGCGTCTGTCTTCAGCTCAGGTCGTGATCCCGGGGTCCTGGGATCAAGTTCTGCCTCGGGCTCCCCACGGGGAGCCTGCTTCTCCCTCTGCCTATGTCTCTGTCTCTCTCTCTGTGTTTCTCTCATGAATAAATAAATAAAATCTTAAAAAAAAAGATTTTCTCTCTCCCATTCCCTCTGCCCCTCCTCACATGTGTGCACTCTCTCTTTCTCCCTCTCGAAAAATAAATAAATCTTTAAAAACAGCACTTTGAAAAGGTTAGGGCCTTCGGGCAGGTTAAAGGATTCTATTCCAAGCTGAAAAGGGTTTGAATCTCACTCATTAGCTGTGTGGCCTTGGGCAAATTGCTTGATTTCTCTGAGTCTCAGTTGTCTCATCTTTAAAATGGGGATATTAATTCCGAGCCACAGGTCAAGCTCACAGTCAGTGCTTAATAGGTGGTAAGTGATGGTAGGGCCTGGACCTGCCTGGCCCCCCTCCTGCCATGCCCTGCACATAACGGGTGCCCCATGGTTGCAGCAGGAGGACTGGAGGGTCTGGGGGCTGCATACCTGGGGCCTGCTCAGTCGTGATGACTGTGGTGGTGATGATGGTGGATGTCGTGGTCTCCTGGCTCTCCTCTGAGGCTGAGCCGGTCAGTTCGTTCTCGCCTTTGTCAGTCAAGGTCATAGGACTGGCATCCTCGGGGGAAGCGTCGAGGGCATCATCAGGCGTGGCAGTCTCCCCGGGGTCCGGTCTCTGAGGGAGCGTGTGGGCCACGTAGGGCTGCGAGGTGAAGGGGGAGATCTGCAGGGGCGCGGGTGTTGTGGGGATTGCACCTGCCTTCCGGTCCAGCCAGAGGGGCTCCTCGGAGGCGGCGGGCTCGGGGTCCCCTGGGGGGTGAGGCTTCTCCGTGGCAGAGGAGAGGAGCCCCAGGCCTGAGGACGCAGGCAGGGACGCCGCCCTCTGGACGGCTGCCGTGGCCGTGGCTTTGGGCCGCAGCTGTTTCCTGGCCGAGTTCACCTGCTTGAGTGAGGGCAGCTTCTTCCCAGATGGGAGGGCACGCTTGGTGGTGGCCTCCTCGGGCAGCAGCGTGGACAGGGCAGCTGAGGGGGCTGCCCCTTCCAGCCTCGGCTCTCGAAGATCTTCCCCTGACTGTGCCGGATTCGGAGGGGCCGTGGTCACTCTCTCTTCCAGGCTCTCTTTTCTCAGACTGCTGCTCCCCAGCGCTCCTGAGGGCAGAAGGGAAGCACCCGAAGGGCCAGCATCTCCTTCCCGGGGCACATCTGGGGAAGAGGGAAAAAGACACCTGTTAGCTTGGGGCCGGGGGTGGGGGCTTAGGTCCTCCACTTCCTGACTCAGGGGCCTAAGAAGGCACCCAAAGCTTGCCAAGAGGTCAGGACAGATATGGGGGCTGCCTTCTTCACTCTCTCCTGACCATCTCTCCCTCTGCTTCTCTCTCTCCTGCTCCTTTCCTGTCTTCCTTTTGCTGACCATGGAGCCTCATGGTTGATCCTGCCCCAGCTAAGCATTACGGTCACAGAAATCAAGTCCACAAGAGTCTTGAGTGCCAGTTGTATATGTACCGAAAGGCGTAATAGGAAAGGAGAAATAATTAGTGCATTAGATGCTTAGAAAGAGAGAAGCTTTGCATGCTAACAGGGCAGAGACAATAGGCCTCTAACCCAGGCTGTGTGGCAGGACCACCATGCACAGTTGGGCAGGCTGTTCATTGCACAAGCATGTCCCACAAAGGCTGAGGGCGGGGGGGTTGTAACAAGCCCACACTCTTCTCCAAGCTGTGTGCCCTGGCTCAGGGCTATATTGTCCTAGGGTTGGAACAGGGGGCACTTTTTTTTTTTTACTAAATAATTAAAAATTGACCTTGTGGGTGACACAGAAAGATTTGAAGATTCAGAATCATGAGACAGGTTCAGGGCAGAGGGATTCAGGAGGAGCATGGAGGCCAGGCTGAGGGGAGCACAAAGGAGGAATACGAGGGGGAGCAGGTAGAGGGTGATTAGAGAGAAAGCTGGTGCGGTAGAGAGGTCGCAGGGCCAAGCCTTGGTGGGCACTGTATACCCTGCTAACTGTGATTTATTTTTGTCTTGAATGTAAACCCACCTAGTAATTTTATTTCATTATTATTTTTTAAGATTCTATTTATTTATTCATGAGAGACACACAGAGAGAGGCAGAGACACAGGCGGAGGGAGAAGCAGGCTCCTTGCAGGGAGCCCTATGTGGGACTTGATCCCAGGACCCCGGGATCATGACCTGAGCCACCCAGATGCCCCTCCCCTCCTAATTTTAAACAAGGGCTGGCCCAAGCAGCTGTTTGGCAGACTCATGTCTGAAATCAATTGCATTCACTTGACTTCTGTCAATTGTAAGCTGGCAAGTGGCTATGAGCTCCTCGAGCCTCAGTTTCCCCAGCTGTCAAATGGGGCTATGGCTCCCCATTGCGCAGGATCGTCATTGCTCAGTAGGCTGCGTGTGTAAAGCATGCTTGCAGATGGGTACCTCTGGGTGCCTCACATACGGTGAGCGCCCAGCACATGCCAGCTGCTGTCTCTGTCTTTGCGGCTGTCATTGCATTCGCACCCTTCAGTGGGAAGCCGGAGCGGTCCTAGCATCCCCGGTGATGATCTCCAGATAGAGAGGAATTACATCCCAGGATAGAAGCCCTGGGACTGATAGCTGTCCTTGTCGATTTTCTGCAGACAGACACTCACTCAGCCACAGTCGCCGGGCTCTTCAGTCCTGTCATTTAAATTTATTTCCGCCGCCGTTGGAAAGGCTCATTTACTTTCACGGAGTCGGCGGCAGTGGCTTAATCTATATAGACTGCAACAGTTTGCAACTGGCATCGACAAATGTTCCTGTTGTGTCACATTGATTACCAGCCAGCGTGCGTTCCAGGCTCGGGGTTGTGCCAGGGCAGGAAGGGGCCTGGGGAGGATGGGGCATGTGTACATGACCCGAAGGCAGATCAAGGTCATTCAGGGGCCAAGCAGGTTTCCTGGCCCAAGGTGGGAAGCATCAAGTCTTCAGAGTTAGACTCGGATTCGAATCCTGCCTTTGACATTCTCCAGCTACATGAGCCTGGGCAAATCCATTGATCCTCTTCTGTGTAACAGAGGTACCCTGTCGACCTCATAGGATCAGATCAGACATGGGTCTGCTTGATAGCTGTGCTTTTTGTGTTCACTGTCGCTTTTATTAAATGATTGATGCCGACCATCTCTGTAGACTGTGCAGTGCGAAAAAAGTGAAGGAGCAGAAAGAGAAGGGGGTGAGGGATCAGGACACCTGGCTCCCGATGCCTGCGGTGGTTCGATGCGCAGAGCTTGGATCACCAGGGGTTGGGGGACCCAGATGGTGCTCCTGCCTTGGCCGCTACCCCCTAGCATAACTGTGTGGGTTTCATCTTCTCTCCATCTTCTCTGTCTGTGTCACATGGGCAGCCACACTGGGTCACACTAGTCAGGTCTTGCAGCTCAGACTCTTGGTCTGCGGAGTGATCAGGTAATTGGCAATTATTCTTCGAGCCTTTTGTTAATCTGGCTAGAGAGGGCAGAGTGAGTGCTTCGATCCTGACACTGGCTTGGGAGTTTTGTTGGGTCCCCTGGCTATATTAGTTTCTGCCAGTTCTTTAGCAAAAATGTCCCCTTGATCACGAGTGAGGGAGGTAAGGGAGGAGGAGTGAGGACAAATGGTCAGAAAGCACGTCAGTGTGCCTCTGGCCATAATAATAGCAGTATTTATGACATTTCATTTGGGATTGCTTTGTTGAGTGCTGCATATATGCTGGGCATGTGTTAAGTGCTTTTTACCCACGACCTCATTTTATTTTTTTCTCGGCTTTTTAAGGGAAAAATTATTCCTATTTTACAGATGAGCAAAGTGAGGCTATGGGATGCTAAGTTAACCTTCCAAGGTCACACAGCAGAGTTGGGTTTTCAACGTCGGTTTTCCTGATGCCAAAGACCATGCTAGCAGCTCTGTTAAGACTCATGGTGGTATTGTTATCACTGAGCCTCTCCTCCTCAGCTTGAAGCAGTGTCCTCCTCCAAAGACTACCCTTCAACCCTCAGTTTTTTGCTTCCCTGCTGGGTGGGCTATTGTGTTCTTCAAATTCACCCACACGATGCCCTTCACCCCTCCATGAGTTCCTTGTTAGAATATACATTTATAAGTCTCCCCTGCCAGACCCAAGACATCTGGATCTCCAGGCGTGGAGCTTGAAAGTGGAGCCAAAAAGCCCCTCTGGTGACTCTGATCCTCAGAGTTATCAGAAAAGCTCAGTCTGGGGGCACCTAGGTGGCTCAGTGGTTGAGCATCTGCCTTCGGCTTGGGTCATGATTCCTGGGTCCCGGGATCGAGTCCTGCATCAGGCTCCTCACAGGGAGCCTGCTTCTCCCTCTACCTGTGTCTCTGCCTCTCTCTCCACATCTCTCATGAATAAATAAATAAAATTTAAAAAAAGAAAAAAAAGCTCGGTCTGGAACCTGTGACCTCGCCTGTGCCTGACTTTCTACACCTTCCTTGTTAGTTTTGCCTTCAAAGTGTTATAAGTTGGAGGCAGCAGGACCCCAGGTGTAGGTTCGGGCCACAGGTGATGACTCTTTCCAAGGCCTGCGATCTCCTCTGGCCACCCCAGCACATCTAGGTCCAAACAAGCCCACGGGAGAAGGAGGGAATAAAAGAGAAAGGAGTCCATAATCAGCTTCCTCCCACAGACTCTGCCCTCAGTTCTGGGGTCCCCACGGTAAGACTGATGCTAACCATGGCAGCAATTAGGCCTTTTAGGAAGTAAATCTGGCTGGGCTGAGTCAGCTCCTCACCGAAAACCTAACTGCTAAGGGGATTTGGTATCCACCAGGTAAATTTCTCTCCCCGCCCCAACGCGGCCTCCTCCTCCGGGCTCCCACGGTGGGATCTGGATGGTTGGCTCCAAACTCAAGGCCATGTTCAACAGAGATGAGTGTCCGGCTGTGGTCTGCAATGTACGCAGCCTGAAGGTCTCCTTCTCAGGTAGGATGTTCCAGGGGAGCGGAACACAAAACCAGGTCCCAGCGGGAACTAGTCAAAGTTGGATCCCAGGGCCTTCGAGATCCACAGACTTACTCACTCTCTCCACCAGGCTGGTGTTTCCCGGGTCCCCAATGACCACTAGATTAAACTAACTGTTCTTTCTCAGAGCGCTTACAAATTTCACTCATCCCAGTCACATCTGGCTGATTCTTCCTCTATCGTGTGCATTCAATGTCCCACTCCAGTGCTGCCCTTCAATTAACGGGCGACGGCTTTGCGCGCCGACTTTCTCTGTTGGTTGATACTCAGGATGAGAAAGTCAACTCTCTAGGGTACGGTCCCTGCACTCTAGGAAGACAGACACACCTGATAACCGAATACGGATATTGAACAGAAGCGACAGAGCTTTCAGCAAATACAGAAGAGGCTGATCTCCCCATCTCCAGATGGAGTGAAGCACACTGAAGAACCCTGAGCATTTGTTCTGCCATCAAAGAAGAGGAGGGAGGGAGGCCTGGTGGCTCAGTGGTTGAGCGTCTGCCTTTGGCTCAGGTCATGTTCCCAGGGTCCTGGGATCGAGTCCCACATCCATCTCCCTGCAGGGAGCCTGGTTCTCCCTCTGCCTGTGTCTCTGCTTCTCTTTCTGTGTCTCTCATGAATAAATAAATAAGATCTTAAGAAAAAAAAGATAGGGAGGGAGCACCTCTCTCTTTCTCCCTCTCTAACTTTGATGAGAGAGACGGCGAGATTAGAATGAGAAGCATCCCCATTAAAGTCGAAAATGCACAATGCGCTCTGGAGCTGAGGGTTTGTGTCACAGATGCCAGGCAGCAGCAGAGTGGCGACAGCCTCTCACGCGCGCAGCGCAGGCACAGAGTGACGGGGAGGGAAGCGCAGGAAACCACAGCTGGGGAATGCGTCTGCTATAATGTGCAGTGAAAAGAGCAAGATGTAAAATTCTATGGTGTGTATGAAAACGACTGGAATAACCAACTAAAACAAATTGTAAGGCAGAGCTGGGTTTTTTGTTTGTTTGTTTGGTTTTATTTTAAACTATACCAGACTTCACTTTTTAAAAAAAATTTTTAAATTAAATTAAAAAAATTTTAAGTATAACTGACATACATTCTTCTCTTTGTTTCAGGTGTATCACATCTTTTTTTTTTGTATCACATCTTTTTTAAAAAATTTTTATTTAGGGGCAAGATGGCGGAAGAGCAGGGTCCCCAAATCACCTGTCCCCACCAAA